GGCGATTAAAACTAATAAAATAATCTATAAACTATGTAAAAATATTAGGAAAATTATAAAATATAATATAGAGCTAATAATAAATATATACTAATATGGGAAAAAAAATAAATTCTATTACAATACTCAAAAGCTATAATAATAAATAGCAAAGATCTATGTTCAAATTAATAACTAAATAAGATAGTTTAAATACTTTAAATACAAGCATAATATCAATGCAAAAAATTTATATAATGCACAAATTCAGAAATCATGAGATAAAGTCACAAGGATCAATTATCCAATCATATTCAAGATTTGTATATCTATATCTGAATTGTCTATAAACCATTATAACAGAGTATAAAAATAGGTTCAGAGATGAGCAAATATGACAAATTTTTGCTAAAAAAATGATTATGCAGCATAACATTTCTCAAAAATTATAGATACAGTTTTTCAATTTAATACTAGTTAAGTCAATCAAAGAGGAGCATTGCAAGATGAGTATTATAATTTTAAAAGAGCATTGGTTTATTTTACAAGTTAAAAAGAGCTTTATTAACTTTATTAATATTTTGTAGAGGCAATATAATTATATTATTAGGAGTAATTCTGAACTCTTAGACAATACTAAGCTTCACTTAGCTCTTGAAAAAAGAAATTTTATCTTTTTTATAATAAATTGATTATAAGAAAAGCCTATGCAAGACTATAATTCTTCTTATTATTTTTAATACTTCTTAACCTTATTTGTTATAACCTTTAACTTCTTTTATACACCCTTTTGTTACTTTAACATTTCTCATAGCTTCAATAAAAAATGTTTCAGTTTCAATATCTTAGGTTCAAAACCTATTATATTGTTTTTATTTATAACTTCTTGACATTGTCTCACATCTAATTCAAGTAAGACAGATGGAGTAACATCTGTTTCTAGTGCAACAGATTAGTTTAGATCAATCTTACTTTAATTAGAAAGAGTAGTTGAGTTCTGCATGAAGACTTGTATGCTTTTATATAGCTTTTTTAGAGCCAGATGCATATGTTTCAGATGGATTGTTATGAACACTTTTAATTAGATAAGTATACTACAATGATGTCTATTTTGCAGGTTCTATAAGATATCAGTTTTACCTCTGACATTATACAAATATTATATGTTATACAAACTCTATTTCTAATATACCCTATATACTATACATATTTTATACTTTGTTTAGTAAATTTGATAAATAAGTTATACAAACCAATTAAACTTAATATTTTGTGAACATAAACCACTTATTGCATCTCACATATGATATTGATGCAAAAATTCATCTGACAAATATAGAATTATAAGATAAAATCTTAAAGATTAAATATTTAATCAAATTTGAGATTTTGTATAAGGTATTTAACTCTTATATAAACTATATATTATATTGTACATTATACAAACTCTGTTTCTGATATAATTATAAATAATTATAATTACTATTAATTAGTATTAATTTGTATAAATTTTATTAAACTTTAAATTTAGTTTTTCAATAATTAGTAATCTAAATTAATTTAAATTTTTATTAAAATAGTATATATTTAATTATATTATATTAAAATATTAGAAAATTTAAATTAAAAGTTTTTGAAAAATTATTTATAAATGATAGTTAATTTTTTTAAAAAAATTAAATATTATTTACAAGTAATTTCTCAAAAATTATTAATCTAAATTAATTAATATTTTAGTATAATATAATTAAATATATATATTATTTATAATAAAATTTAAATTAATTTAGATTACTAGTTATTAAGAAAACTAAATTTAAAGTTTAAGAAAATTTAATAAACTTTTGTTATATATTATTACTAATTACTAATAATAATACTTAGCAAAAATGTTATATATTGATAGTAATTTAAAGATTATTAATATTATATATTATTTTTAAAATTTTTCTGATGTTGTTAGATAACTTGATCTAAATAGGTAATAATTGTATATGTCTAAAAAAATATATATACTATTTAAATGATATATATAAGTATATAATAGAAAATTTAAATAGATAATTTTCTTATAAATATTAACTATAATATTTAATATAAAATCATAGAACAAACTATTTAAATAAGTAACCAAAAAATTGTATATATAATTAATTATATTCTCATATTTATAAAAAATAATTATATTAACTAATTCTAAATTATTAATAAATTACTATTATAAGTATAATCTTTAATAATAATAATAATAATAATAATAATAAAAGAAACCTAGAATATCAATAGATAGACTTATTTCTAGAAATAGCAAATAACCTGCAGTTGAGAAGTTATATAGTAAAGAACACAAGTTAGAACCTAATTTGAAATAACTGAAGTTATAAAACATAATATAAAGCTAAAAATCTGATACTTATAGATACTATATAAACTTATAACAATAGCCAGTCCTTGACAGAGTCTTATAAAACTTTCTGATTCTAATAAGTCAATATAATGAATTGTTTCTGAAAAGTTTAAAGGTACAAATCAGAAAAGGTTAAGCTTCAGTAACCTTCAATATTGAGAACTTTGTTCAAAAATATGTACAGATACTAAAAAGATCTTGACAAGATTGTCAAAAAAAGAAAAAAAATATATATATAATAATAATAATAATAATAGTAAACTAATATTTCAGAATGTGATGACTTAATGTAATAGATAAATTGTTATTCTTTCAAATAACACATTATGAATTTATTAAAAATAAAAATTTAAACAATTATCAGTATTATAATAATTATTTTTCATTGATCAGTTGAGGTAACTATAATTGCATCAGCATGACTAGTAGATCATTAGTAACACAGAAAGATGCAGACTGATACCAAATAGTACAAACTCAAAATAAGTCCTTGTGATTATATAAATCTATAAAATTAGAAAAACAATAACCCATTTAAGAAGATGCAAATTTTGTTATATTTATGATACTTTTAAAGGCGGATTTATAGAAACGTATTAGTGATTAAAATTTATAGATACTTCATTAATTTTCTATTATGCTTTTTAATTAAGAATTAATGCCTTCGCAATTATACGAGAATTCGAATTGGATACTAGGGTAAGAATACTTACCGGTACATAAAATAATATTCATTATTATTTATAGGTGCCATTCTTCTGCTATGGTCAGAAATACTTTTTACAATATTCTAGCAATCTGAAATACCTTCTACATCGTTATTACGAACACGAAAATGATCAAACTTGCAGATTAATCTAAATTTTTGATTTTCCATACTACTACTAATTGCTCTCTTTTCATTCATTTCAACTGTCTAAATGTAAACTCTAAATGTAAAATAATAAATGTCGCGGATCATAATTAAAATGAAATGAGGGATTTCTATTCGACCCCTAAAACCCACTTATACTTGTTTATTATAAATTCTATCCTAATAGAATGCTAAAAAAAATGCATCTCAAAAATCTGTATTTTTCAGTGGCCTGTCTATTTGACACTATTACTTATTTCATTTTAATCCGTCACAATTCTTATTTTAAAATCAATAAATATTTATTTTTAATAAAGTTACATTTTTAAATTCCTAAATTTATGCAGACATTTTGGCAAAAATGGGTTATCCTGCTTTTCTTGATCTATCTAATCACACATTTTAATTTTAAGCTATTATGTAGGCAAAGAAATATCAAAGCTTCAAAGTTTATAAGTAATTCTATATATCTTTACTATAATTATATATAATTTACTATATATAAGTAATGTGACAAATCGGGTAATTGCACTTTTGGGGGATTAACTTCAAAAAAGCCCATGGGTCGACCCATGTGGAACCCTACTTGTTTAGTCGTGCATTGAATACACATACGTATATACATTTTTGCAATCTATACTATAATACATACACATAAAATACATTGTCAAAACACAATTCGATTATTAACCATATAATCGATCTCGTTTCTTTTTTTAATCTGATAAATTTGTTTTCACAAAGTAGGAATCTGATCACTACTTTTACCAACATCAATATCAGAATCGTTTTCATCAAATGAAACAGTTTCAGAGAATTCTGTATCCGTTGGTGATGATGGATATTCAGGAAGAACAAAGTTTGGAAGATCTGGATATTTTTCCTTTACCAAGTTATCAAAATAGTCTTCTTTACTTTCTGATGCTTTGGGTTCTTGAATTTTAAAGTTTATCGTAGACAATTCTTCGTTATTATAGTTTATCGTTGACAATTCTTCGTTATTACATATACCAAATACATCGCCAATTGATCGGTAAACTTCAACAATACTTTCCATTTGATCAAGTAACATAGCAACTTTGTTTTCAGAATTAATCAATTTTTGCTCTAAATCTTCATTAGTGGCGATCAATCTATTATTTTTTTCCCTATATAAATTAATTTCTGATTCTTTTAAAGTTCTTTCTTCTTCCCAACATTGATCTTCTTCTTCACTTTGAGTTTCCTTGTTTAAACTTCCTTGTTGCTCAAAAGATGATTTTTTTTGTTCTATCTCCTGTTCAAGATTTTCTTTCATATTTTCATATGTTAAAATTTGTTGCCTTAAAAGTTCATTAGACTTTCTCAACGTTTCATTTTCATTTTTTAAAGGGTCGTACATTCTTTTCAATTCCACGTATTCCCTGTTCAATAAAGCTTTTTCGTTTTGAATTTGAGTTACTTGTGTTTGCATGTGTGAAATTTGCAATTTTTCTCTTTTTGAAATTTTTAATTGCTGGCTTAACGGCTGCTGATCCATATAACCCTGCAATGTTGATGCTCTAAAATTACCATTTGTATTAAATGCTCTTTTAAGTTTTTCCTCTAACCCCTCTTTATTAGTGCTAATTAATTGATCTTTAATCATTTTCATTAATTTGTCTGCACTTTGTGCATACATATTTATCATCTGATGGTCCGATCCAATTTGATTTGCTTTTTGTTTTATTTCTTTAAGTTGTCGTTGTGTTCTTGCCGCTTTTGATTCAACTAAACGAATCATATCTTCAATTTCTGCTATTTCATAAAACGTCTCCGATTCATTATAACACTCAGAAATTTCTTTGGATGGTCTTGCTTCTTCACTTTCACAAGGTTCTGAAACTTTTTTGGGTGAACTGTCTTTTTCAATATTATCCGATTTCACAACTACTTTTTTTGTTGCTTTTAACTGCATTTTTATTTGAAGCAGTTGTTCTTTAATCGCTTGAACATCATCTAATAAATTTGATGTTTTTTCAACTTTTGGTTCAATATTTGCTATCTTTTTATATGCTAATCTGGATTGATTTATTGCAATTTCCTGATAAGAAAAAAAAATTATAATGTTAAATTTAATAATATAAACAACCAATACTTTATAAAAAAAAACAAAAAACCTTTGCTTGCTGTAATTGTTGGCTTAATTGAACAATAAATCTAATAACTGAGAATTTCTCAGATCCTATCCCTTCAGTGACTGATAATTTCCCAGTGTCAAGACCACCATTTAAATCATTATCAGAGGAACCTGGTGTATAACCATTCTTTTTAGCCAATTCTAGTTGGGACTTAAGCCAAAGTTCACGCTTTTTAAATTCAGCAATTTTAAAATCTTGTTCTTGAAGCCTTTCCAAATAACTCTCTCGATTCATATTCGAAAGGTCATCAAAATACTGATTATGATATTCAGAAGTAGGTGTATTATCGAAAAGATCGTCTGAAAGTATTGGTGCTTGACCTGTAGCTTGAACATCTTGTGACTTCCACTTTTGTTTTCCGTCAAATGTAGATTTTATATTTCGCATATGTTCTATATTTGTATTTGCTCCATCAAATTCTAAATTAGTGTTTTCTTTATCAAAAGATTCATCCTTTCCTACCATTTTTGCATTATTTGTAGAGATTTCAATAGCTTTTACTTTTTCATCGATAGCTTGATTTTCTTCAATCTCTGGCAAAGATTCTGTTACTTTCTCCAGAGGACTTTTCACTTGACGTTTCGGACCTCCAGGCCTTGTTATAAAATTTGTTATTTGCGATGGTGCTAAAGTCAGAGATATAGGTTTTTTATTCTTAATGCTATTGCTTTGTTCGTTAACATGGTTTGAAATAGGGGGCTCAGATATCCTTCGTTGCGGTGATATATTTAAATAAGTCCCTGTAGGAAATTTTATTTTAGCTGAACAAAGGATATAAAATCATCAATTATTATCGGCAAAAAAATTTATATACTTGAATAATATAAGAAATGAATACTTACATGTATCCAAAATATGGATTATTCCCTTAGAATCAAATGATTCTCCCCCAAAAATAAAAATTTTGTCATCTGCTGCAGTCATTGTATGCCCATAACAAGGACTCAAAAAGATACACCAATTCCTATCAATAAAAATCAAACAAACAAATTCAACTTTTCCTACACTTAAAATCTATTCACCTTGGTGTAGGACCCATTTTCTGAAATATATGCCATGTTTTTTCTAAATAAAAGTATTTTGATTAGCATTTTTACATAAAATTCATTAACATTACAGTATTATAAAGCTTTTTTGAAACAATTACGGTTTATTCTGAATGCTGTTAAATCGGATAGTTCTTTATTATCATTTGTAATTCCGCCAAAAATATAAATTATATCATCCACAAGAGCAGCTTTATGGTAACAACGCGGCAAAGGATTAAAGTCCACTGAAGAAATTTCTGACCAAGAATTGTCTTTTATGTCATAGCACCACATATCATTATAACATCGGATTCCATCAGTTCCTCCGAAACTTATAAACATGGACTTTTAATTAGTATATTAAAGGCAAAATCGTAGAAATTAATAACCTTAACACACACATACACGTAAATTTTATCTTTATATGCACATGCAATATGTCCAGTCCTGCCAGACGGTGCATAATTCGAATGAGAAATAATCTTCCAACTTAAATTTTGTGATTCCACTATGAATTAGTATAAAAATATTTTTTTAATTTCTATTTGAATACGGTTGTTATTCAAATATAAAATTGATTATTTACTGGTAGTTAAATCAAACACAATTAAATCATTTAAATAAATTCCTCTGTAATTTTGACCACCAAATATATACATGGAGGTCCCAATTACAGTTGCCGTATGGCCGTGACGTTGTGTAAGAAAAAGCTTTTCAGGAATTGAAAGTTTTGACCACTGGTTTGTAACTGTAAATAAATATATTAGCAACAAAGAAAAAACCTTTTGTTTTTAATAAAAGAATATTTGCGATTTGATATTTTACCAGTATTGAGTATGTAAATAAAAGCGTCAGAATTGTCTGTAGGATATTTAAGCAACCCACCAAAAACTGTATATAATTTAAATAATTAAAACATTTAATACGTATGCATTTACTTATATTTTTAAAGGTACTAATCGTGAATACCTATCATGTTGTGCCCGACATTAACATGTGTATGTCTACTCCGTGGATACGGTATATCTCCTGATGTTATAAGCTTATATGCATGTAATTTATCTGGAAATTATTATTACTTGAATCAAATATCCATACATCTAGATTGGTATAAAATTTAGACCCCTAAAGACAAAGTTTTTATCACATACCCGTTTCCACTAAAAAAACATCATTTTGTGCTTTTCCTTCGACAATCCCTCCGAAAATGAATACTTTATTATTAATTACATATTCATTTGATGAATGTTCATAACGTGGAAAAGGATTGCATTCACCAAGTTCATTAATTTGAGACCATGGATAAATTGGACCTGTTGGTTTTAATTTTAATTTCGACATCAAGCTCATAGCGTAATGAGACGGTGTAAGTTAAAATAAATAAAAATTCTGATGTAACACATTTCTCATTACTCTCATTAAATCCAAAAAATATATGATTGGCTAGTAAGTTTACTTAAAAAGATGACTTTTTCTGCTAACGCCTATAATAATAAATAAGCAGAACCGAACACCTATGCATTGTATAAATGCGTTTCGGAAGTAAATCATATTTGGTTAGGGTCGACTGAAAGTCTTATTCCGGAAGCATCACATGAATAATAGCGTAATGCATTGCAGTAGTATCTCTATACATATCGATATTTGATAATATGTAGGTATGTATGTGCGTACCAATACTTATCTGTCCGCCGAATGCATACTTATTGTGGCAAATTAAAACGAAATCTGATTTTAAAACCTACCGAATAATTGATTGTAAGAGCAATCAATTGCAATTTTTCGAACTCAATTAATTGGCGATGCAGTCACAATAGTCAATTAATTGCAATTTTACGTACGTAATAGATTACAGATCATTAAATTATTAATTACAGTAAATACCTTTCTCTGTTTAAAAAAAAAATCGGGATACACCAGGCAGTGCTCTACACAATTGACGCACCTCAGATGACTATAAGATGACCAGTATTAAATGATCAGCAATTATTGACCTAAATTATACCGTAATTTTTACCCTAATCCTAATTCGGACGCAAGGATGCATGTGAGGCACAACAGTAAGGTACTTTTTTTTTTTTAGAGGTTTGATTAGACTAATAAGAGTATAATTTTAGAGGCTTAAAAAGAAACTTTAATCGAATTTCATTATGATCTGCGATATTGATTAAATGATTTCTTTAAAATGCATAGTAAAGTTATGTTTTTTGACATATGACTTTAAAACTTAAAAGTCAGCATAGCAGAATTTCATTTTGATTGGTTGTTAAATTACGAACTTTTAAATTTTTAATTAATAATCACTAAAAACATATCGATATACGTATTATAATTTTATAATATACTAAAATAAAAAAAAACTCTTCTTTGCAAATCTCAAAACACAAAAATTAGCAGAAGCAAAAATAAAAAATAGACAAAACAATAGATAGTATAAAAGAAAACCTAAATAAAAAAGCTCATTCTAGGCAAGAAAATTATTTATATAATATATAAAATGAAAACAAACAAAAAAAAAAATGAAAACTCAATACAGTTAACAAAGAAAATAGTTCAGGGTTAACAAAGTTAATAATATTTTTTAGTGTTAAAATTAACAATAAGTAACAATTACAAATATTTTCTAGACAATAATAATATCATGTTAATTTAGATACTATTTACAAAAATGATTATATTAAAAAAAGATATATTATTTTTTTTTAACATCTATCTAATAATAAAAATAAATAACAAGGACATAATAATATAGTGAAATGGTCATGTTATCAATCTTTAAGTAATAGATCTAGAGTTTAAATCTCAGTATCAATAAAAATTTGAAATTTTTTTTATATTATATTTAATTATTTTTTACTATTGGTTGAAATCAAATACTTATTATTTATATTATACTAGCATAATGAAAAATTTATATAGTATTTGTATAATAGTTATGCCTTATATAAAGAAACACAAACTGGTACTAGGCAATATGAACTTATAATAAGTTTTTATACTCATGTAAATTATAGAAATTAGAAAGGTAGAAGTTCACTTAAAAGATCTAAATAAAGAGATAACTTGAACTTTTAATGATGTTATTATAAAAATTAGATTTAGAAAACAGAACTAGCACTTATAAAGTAAATAATATATTAGTTTTTGAAAAAAATTATTATAATTATTCAGATTATTAGAATCTTAAAAAAAATAAAAAAAGATTATATACTAGAAAATATATAAATTAGAAGTATGGTTATATTTATTTTTTTGAGTTATCTAAACTGAGAATTCTGTAGAACTTAAATTGAATACCAAAGTAATAAAAATATATTATAAAATAAATACTAAAATTAAGATAAACTCTACAAAGACATAGTAGTTAAATAGTATATCTTGATTACAAGTATTAATTTTGATTATAATATAATTAAGTTAGTTATAAGAATATGATATAAAATATTTTAGAAAGTTTAGTACAAGATCAAAGGTTTTTTATATAAGTGAATTGTTTTAAAGACTTAGTAACTATGTTATATTTTTATTTTTATTTTATTTTTTTTCAGTATTAAGATGACCTCTTTGGTTTGAGCTTTTTATTAATACTTATAGCAGATATATGTTTTATATAGACATATCTATAATGAACTATTAGACAAGTGTACAACTGGCTATATGTGTAACTTTTCTATATTACCTATTTAAGAAGTCTGCCCAAGGGTTCCCCACCAGTTGCCGTACCTAACACCCCTGCATAGGTGTTCCATTTAAACCCTCTAATCTAACTCTAATATTAATTTCACTAAATCACAAACCCAGATCTATTTGCTATCAACTATAGGACTATAATTCTTAGACTATTTTTATCTTTGAGATAAACCTACCAGAGTGAGCTGTATTCCTTTTTACTGCTAATCTGGTTTGACGCTATGGCTGAGACCAACACTTGCAGTCAGGATTACCTCTTAAACTGCTATTACCCTTGTAAAGTTCATCCAAATCCTGGTATTCATCTTTCTGACTTTTTCATCATCATTCCCTACTAGTCACAACTTGGAACTAACTGACTCCCCAGACTCCCAATCCAGATGGCCCAGTATGATATACTTATGTATTCTTTTCCTTCGGTGATTCCAGCAGCCTAGTTGATCATATGCTTCTCTACACATCTTTGTCATCCAGTTTATCTAACAGTTCCTATAAAGATGTTTTATAGACTTTCATCAGTCCAATGGTACCATCGAAAGTTTGTGCTATCTCTTTACTCAGAATTTCCAAGTGAGTTTCTGTCTCTTCGGTTTCTTAGCCTTCTACACTCAGTGGTCTTATCATAGGTTTGCCCAAAGCCTTATATGATACCGGTTTTATATTTCTTTATATATATGTACTATGTAATGTTACATTTTGTATAGATGCCCTGAGCTCCCAATGTTAGGTGGAACCTGACTTGGTGTACCTAAGATTACAGATATCCAAAACTCAACCGATTGACAAGAGACAGTTACTGTAATACAGGTATAATTTCCAAAATTCATCATCTGTAAGAATTAAACCTTAGACCTGCTACTTGAGAGTTGACAACCTATTCACTTCACTAGGTCACCACATCCTTATATTATATTTTTATTAATATTAACTGAAGTTATTAATAAATATAAGTAGGCAGGTAAATATAAAGATTAGAGTATTTAAATAAAAAACTTATAAGCAAATTTTAAATATAACAGCTAGTATAGAACTTTTAATCAAACTATTTAAATTAAACCATAATTAAAGTTATATAAGTAACTAGTTATATATTTTTTTTATAGTTGTCTTTTATGATTATAATATAATTATTAACTAAATGTACTATCAATAAATTCTTAAATTACAAATACTCATTTTAATATTTAAAAAAAAATAATAAATAAAAATAAGTAATAATATATTTTTATCAAAATAAATAATAATATTATTATATACAAACTAATATAACAACAATATAATTTGTCTTTACTTTAGATAAGTTTCATAAAAAGAAAACTAAACAACTATAATTCAGAACCAAACATTTAATAAGAAAATAAATAGCTAATACAATATAAAACTTAAACCTACTAAGATGTAAAACTTTTATAAAACAATAATAAACAATAATCAAATTACAAAGTTAGAACAAAGAAATTAAATAAATATAAAATTAAAACAAACATCTTTTTAATTACTTAGATATGTCAAACATCTATAATAAACCTACATATAATCAAATTATTCAAAAATATATAAGTATAAATGATATTACAAAAATAAAAACTGATTATATAAAAATATGAATACAATAAATTAATAACAGCTTAAAGACAAAAATCATTATATCTTTTAACTACAAATAATATAATTATGATAATATAATTAAAACATACAGATCTAAAAAAAAAAAAATACAAGAATTTATTATATACAAATTACAAACTAAACCAATTAAAAGACCAGTTTTTTCTCTAATTAAAGCAAAATTTAAACATACTAACTTAATCTTTTTTACTATTTTTATATATACAAATGCTTTATACTATTATATAAAACTAAATATAATTAAATATTTACAGATATAATAAAAAACTACAAAACTACAAATGCAATAACTATTATTAACAGACATCTAAAACCTAATTTACTTGAAACTAAAACAGAAAATAATTATAAATTATATAACAAATTTAAACTTCTGTTATAGAGTGGAAGCCTTCTTATTTTCACACTACAACAATAACACAGTACAGGGAATCTCTTATGAGTATATGCGGTGTCCAAGAGGGAAGTATAGCTTCTGTTAGACGTTGTTAAGAAACTATACCCATCTCTGAGGCAGTTTGATAATTATTACATAGTAGTTTGTAGTTAAAGTTATTTATTAAAGAATTGCAAGAAGGATGATTCTTAGGTGCCTGTCCTAAAGGATTTAGGGTATAAATTACAGAATAAAGAAGAAGAGGAATTGTCTGTTTCTTGAGAACTGTTGGTTATAAAACTTGTTGAATGTTTTTCTACTTGGGAAAATTTAGAGGGTTTATATATCTGTAAGTTAAGTGGCTAAGTGACTAAGAGACTAAGCGACCAGTTGCACTAAGAGACTAAGTGACTGGTTTCACTAAGGGACTAAGCGACTAGTTACACTAAGAGACTAAGTGACTAGTTTTACTAAAGAACTAAGCGACTAGTTATACTAAGAGACTAAGCAACTAGTTACACTAAAGGACTAAGTGACTAGTTACACTAAGGGACTAAGCGACTAGTATTACAAACTTCAGGCATTAAAATATTTAAAGCATTAACAACTATAACTAATAAATAATACAATTATAGAAATCTATCCTATAACACTT